CCAACTGAGATTGAACCCAGGCCTGCTGGGGTGAGAGGTAATCACGCTTACCACTACACCACCGGCGCCGCTATTTCTTCTGACTTCTTTCGTAATTATTAGTTACGACTACCATCAAAGTTTTTTTTTATGACCCAGAAGAATTATTCGAATTCTTCCAGATGTCTCTTCCCACTTTCATATAAATTTTCATTTGATTTCATCGGACGCTTCAGGCAGAAATATCATCATCCAACTTCTTCAGCAAGCAACTTCTCCGGAAGCTTCTTCGGACTTCTTTGATAAGCCTTTTTGGCTTAGCATAGAAATTTCTGCAGGCTTTTCCCACGAAAATTTTTCCAACTTCTTCTGGAACATTCTTCCGATTGACCTTAGAAGATCTTCAGATTTCTCTGGAGGTTAATCCAAACTTTCTTTTGAGAAATTTCTTTTGACTCCACTGGGAAATTTTTTACAATGTTCACCCAGAAATTCTTCTAAATTTATTTCCCGGGAAATAAGAACAAGACTCCTGGGAATCGGGAAATGTGATTATTGGTAAATTTTCCGGGATGTCCCGGGTAGGAAGCAGGGTTGCTTCCACTCACTCGCTATAAAAAAATGATTTTCTGATTTTTGAAATCATTAGATGTTATAAAGGGTGATACGGTCAAAATTTGGTCAAGGGAAAACGCGTGTAAATCGGTGAAATCGTTTATTTAAAAAATCAAATTAAATTTCTTTTTCAAGTTCAATTAGTATAAAATTCAGGAAAAATATTCAGTTAGGCTTCCGCTTTTCCAAATCCGAATTGCCGGGCCTTACGTTTGACTCCTGCCATCAGATTTTGTACAGCCACCTTGTCCACCTTCTTCGCCGCAGAAAGCCAGTTTGCCTTGAACTGCTGCTCGCCCTTAGCAGTTTTTTGGTCTTCTTTAGGTTCCGCTTGACAATAGCCCAGTATTTCTCAATTGGGCGGAGCTCTGGCGTGTTGGGAGGGTTCTTGTCCTTGGGAACCACCTGCACGTTGTTGGCGGCGTACCACTCCATGGCCTTTTTACCGTAATGGCAAGATGCCAAATCCGGCCAAAACAGTACGGAACAACCGTGTTTCTTCAGGAAAGGCAGCAGACGTTTATTCAAACACTCTTTCACGTAAATTTCTTGGTTGACAGTCCCGGAAGCTATGAAAATGCTGCTTTTCAAGCCACAGGTACAGATGGCTTGCCAAACCAGATATTTCTTTGCGAACTTTGACAGTTTCATGTGCTTGAAAACATCTGCTACCTTTCCCCTTCCTTTTGCCGTATAAAACTCCTGTCCCGGAAGCTGCTTGAAGTCGGCTTTGACGTAGGTTTCGTCGTCCATTACCACGCAGTCAAACTTCGTCAGCATCGTCGTGTACAGCCTCCGGGATCGCGCTTTGGCCGTCGTATTTTGTTTATCATCGCATCTCGGAGAGAGAGGTTAGGGTTTCGCTTGAAACTACCGGCAACTCTCTTTGTCGTCTCAGCGGCTTCCAGTTTTCGATTTCCCCCCGATCCAGACTTCCTGGCTGTCGACAAACGTTCCCCAAACACTTTAATTACATTTGTAACGGTTGATTTGGCAACTTTTAGCGATTTTGCCAACTTTGCGTGCGAGTAGCTCGGATTTTCGCGATGCGCGAGCAAAATTTTGATACGCTGCTCTTCTTGCTTGGACGGCATTTTGACAACTGAAGAGTGAATTCCAAAATCAAAATAGGAGCAACATTCTACACACACACACCTTCAAAATGAGGGGTGTTCAGGTTTTTTAAATGCAAAATTGAAAGAAATACGTCAAGTTGATGTTGACCAAATTTTGACCGTATCACCCTTTAATGATATTTTGTACTTGTTAGATACAAGAAGATATTGAAAGGCAAGTATCTGACGCATAAAACTTGTCAATTTCACTTCCAGAGTGTTACAATCAGCAATTTTATGATTCGTGAGCGTTCACTCAGAGTGAGCGCTCGCGAGTCGTAAAACCGCTGATTGTGACTATCTGAAAGCGAATTTGGCAGGTTTTATGTGTCAAACACTTGCCTTTCAACCTCTTTGTGTATCTAACATGTACAAAATATCATTATAACATCTAATAATTTCAAAATTCAGAAAATCATTTTTTTATAGCAAGTGAGTGGAAGCAAGCCTGGTAGGAAGCACTATGTACTTAATTTATCTGGCAGGAATGTTTTTTCATAGTTCCGTTAATTTAAAAATGTAAATCACAGAATGTAGAAGCTCTTCTTTTGACATTTCGAACTACAGAATCAAAATAAAATATATTGACTAAAGGAGACATCGTAACTTAATAATTTTAGGATGTCAAGAAGAGATAACATCGAGTCAATAGGCCAGAATGTTATTTTTGATGTGAATTTCAGCTATTTTCTTCAAAGTATATAAAAAAAGTCTTGCGTTACCTGGGCCAGTTCTATTAGGGATAGTTATTGATAAACATTAAAGAACATTTGTGAGTTGAAATTGAGCTGCTCATTTCTGCTTCTGCTTTCTGCTGGATTTATGGAATACAGTAGATTATATGTTTATTTTTTTTTTATTATTCTGACCAAATGCGTAACAAAATCACACGAGATGAAGTAGCAAACGAGCGAAGAATCTGATGTTACATCAAATATTATGTGTTTTCATAAAATATTAAAAGTCATGTGTTGATTTCCATAAAATATTAATAGTCATAAAATTGTCGTTAGAAAAAAGATTTCGCATTTTTACCCCAATGCCTTACGAAGGTCTTGCTGAAACGGCTTGTCTAAAAATTAGTTGACAACTAAAAATTAAAAACCATAAGTTGGATAAAGTGATATTGTAAGACAGCTTGTTTTTGCTTTTTTCTCTCTCCTTTCTATGTGTCAGTGAATTGATTATCATTGATGCTGTAGTGTTATGAGTGTGTATCATGCACTTCCACAACTACCGTAAACGTAGGTGCTAGACTTTGTATTGATTAGGTCAAATGCGCAATATTTAATGAAAAATAATTAGAAAATTAAAAAATAAAGTTTTATCTACCTTACTGCACATCTCAACCATCGTCAATTTTAAAGGATATCAATTAATCGTGCAATATTGAAACCATCACTACATTTCAATTCAATTTACCAATACTAACGATCTACCACTCCCCATGACACCCCTTCCCGTACAGAAAATAATTATGCGCCTAGCCACCAAGTCCACCCAAGTCAAGTAATCGTAGACTACAACTGTACAAAGTGTGGTTTTTAATCTACGATTCGTAGTAGTTGATTGATTCAAGACCACACTTTGTACACTTCGATTACATTTACCTATTCAAAAATGATGCCAGAAACCAGACAACAGGTATGTTTTTGTTTTTGCATCATTCTTTTGCCGCCAGTATTCATATCAGCTAATGGCTTCGACCAGAACGATACATATATTTTATATAGAAGATTTGTTGGTGCACAGCAAAAAAATAATTTTGATATCACATCAAAGTGGATGCACTACAATCATGTCGAAAATTTCATGTAATTTTTATGACCACATAAATAAACAAATGCAGTAAATGCAGCGTAATGTCAGTTCATGCATTGTATTAATGATAATTTTGTCCTTTTTAGCAAGTAATATTACACCATATTTTCGACATGATTGTAGTGCATCCACTTTGACGTGATATCAAAATTATTTTTTTGCTGTGTGCAAGCAATCTTGAAAATCAAAATATGAAGCTTTTGTAATCATTTATGACTTATGGTTTCTAAATTGAACACAGTTTAAGCACCATTCAAAGCAATAAATACATTGTTTTTACACTCTTGATTTCAATTAAACCGACAACACTGGATGCGATGATAAATGATTCGTACAGACACCTTTCTTATGCGGTGTGTAGAAAAAGATAAATAAATTAGTTTCATCAAAGAAAATTATTCGTGGCTCGCGTTTTTAACGACGAAAATGATATTATTTAAGCTAATGTCATCTTCAAAAGTAAATTAGCTTGAAAGTGCTTTGTAGAAGCACGTGTCGTAATTGTTTTTAGTGTGGTTACAAGAAGTGAAAGCTAGTGAAAACGGGTATTGAAAGTTCATGCACCGAGCAAAATTAAATCGACTGATCGAACTTTTTAATGCATTTATTACGAATGAATGAATAAATTGGTAATATTTTGGTGGAAAAGTGTTAAATATGTATCCAACTCATAATAATGTAATTCTTGCCCATTTTTATAGTATGTAATTAACTACTTTTGTTGAAAGATGTCTTTCGTACGCATACCAAAACACGTTTATTTAGTAATTGTGGGGACGGCCATTGTAGAGATTTTTTATTTATTTTGGTACTAGAAGAGATAAAACCCATATTAATTACATTGTTCTTGAGATTAATACTATATTCAGACTATAGACTACAGGCTTATATAACGTAGTATAGGCTCTCTTGCAATGAACACTCATAAGACAAATGTTCGCTGGAAATCATAAATATGGCGTGATATAAAAATAGTTTAATTACGTAATATCAGATATAGATATCATCAAAATACATTTTTCAAAAAATCAAAACGCTAAGTACGCTTCCCAAAAAGGGGTTCGCAAGGGTGAAATGGTTCAACCATTGTCAAGATAATGCGAGAAACAACAATAAGTTTTATTTGTGTCAACCCAACCGGTTAGAGATTGCTGGTGAATTGGTGACTTTCCCATTTGTTTTCCCCTTTCCACTTGTCTCTTTTGCTTGTGTTGGACATTTTTATCGGATGTTTCTATTGAGTACCGTCTCTTCCAGCTGATATGAAAACGAACCAAAATTTGATGGGAAAAGTTACTCCACAAGTTTTCCGGCTGAATGCCAGCCAATTTTGACAGTGCATGAACGTTGACAAATAAATGGGTTGTTTCACTTGGTTACTTTGATCTGCTTACCCTCTAATGTATCAGTGGAATTATTTACAGTGCTTGTCTCTAGTAAAGTTATAGTCTCAGTCGCTGTTTCTCGTACTTCTACGATCACCTTTTCCGGTCCATTTTGCCAACCGGTGTCCCATTCTGAGGAAGGAAAGGAGAGATGTACAAAATAAGTTGGTGAGTATCCGAGTTGGTTATTTTCTTTTTTCTTTATTTACCTGAAATTTCTGTGGTTTGTTGCTGTAGCTGATCATTTCGACTATCGTAATCCAGTTTGATCTGGAAATTCAAAGAAAATTAAAAAATTTGTTATTATTGTTATAATTGTTATTTATTAACTAACTTGAAATAATAATTACAGTTAAATTAAATAAATTACACATGGAATTTGGAACATGAGAACATAGGAACAAGTGGGCCTACGACAGTACATGACACTTGACCCTTAAGTTTTTAAAGATATTATAGCTTTTCGGTACACCTTTGTGTACAAGAAAGTAAAAAGGATGATATGGTTACACTGAAGAGAACCTTGAGATTTTTATCCTATGTCACTGTTACCCAGCCGTGTGGAGCTAGATACAAAGTGGGAGTAATTTTGATCAAAACCTTAAGACAAAAGAAGCCACTCATTGTGTTCGTTGGCCATGAGGGCAAATCTCGTTGATAATACAAATAAATTTCAGCACGTTGTCGCTGGTACTCTGATGCATCCGTGGTGGGCCACTTGGCATCGAACCATTCATAAAGCTTTTCTTATTCCTATAAATTTGTATAATCGAGTGGATTTATTCTACGTTTCCTTTCCTTAGGCGGAACGAGTGAACCCTTGGAAAGAAAATTGAAACAATAGCTGGAGAGCGTCCTCCACTTTCCAGCCCATGTAGCAAACGTCAGCCTCTAGCAGGAAGAATGTAAACCCTATATCCACTTTTGTGACAAGGGTAAAATTGAATTGAAGTCAACTACTGTTAAAACCATTGTAGATGCTTTCGCAAATTGGTCCCCAATCAAGTGCTTCCTGGAGGCGAGGTTATGTTACTTTGTGCTTTATACTTTTGGTGCCGGGTGCTGCGGCAGCTGACTATTATTTTGATTGATTTAATTGAAATTTCTCTATGCAGCTTAGCTTGCGGATGAACCGCTGAGGAAGGTCAGGCGCCATCGGGTTAATGAAATGCTATTTTAATCTTACCGCAAATTGGGGAAGGAATGTCTTGAGTTCCGAATTTGTTTGCGATTAAATTGTAATGCTCAGAGGATAACAAAAATGATTTCCTACAACACCAACAAAGTATGGCAAACATAGTTAAACTGTTTTCACTTTTACAGTTGTGCACAATTCAGAACTAAATCATTTCGTAATGACCGCTACACGGGAAAAAAAAGAGTTCCCATATTCGTGAACCATAGTTCACGGTGTATATTTGAGACAATTTTGTTCTGGATAGCTGGCCGTGATTTTTAGTTCACGGTCCGTTCCCGTTTTCGGGAACGGATTTTTTTCCGAGTAGTTTGATGGATAGTGTATCAGTTGAGGACGAGTTTAGTCTTAATTTAACCAATCCTGCCTAATCAGTGTACGTTCTGATGCTAAACAAAGCTCATTTTATAACTAATTTGCTGGATTTTACCACATAGGAATTGAATCTTGTCTCCAAAAATAAGGCATGCAAACCACATCAAGTTGAGACATCCCATCCCAGTAGATATATTCTCCTTGACGAAGAAAAGTTTCACAAGCAGTAAAAAGATAAGCAAAACCATCAACAAAGCGAAACAATTTCAGAGAGATGATGTTATATTAACTGGCAGTCAAGGGAAAATGCTTCTGATATAATTTGTGATAAAGTTTAGCCCAATGACGAAGCATGAACAATCACACCGATACGTACGTAAACCGTTTGGTATTTATTCAGTTTTATATAATTTTATTTGTTCTCGTTTCTCGGCAGATGTGATACCAGCAGACCATTTCATTTCCCACGTGATGTGAGCTTCATTATTTGTTCCTGCCGGTGGTGAACCCAAAATATTTCATTACCGAAAACGTGGCACCCGTATAACTGTAGGTAAAGGGTGATACGGTCAAAATTTGGTCAATATCAACTTGACGTATTTCTTTCAATTTTGCATTTAAAAAACCTGAACACCCCTCATTTTGAAGGTGTGTGTGTGTAGAATGTTGCTCCTATTTTGATTTTGGAATTCACTCTTCAGTTGTCAAAATGCCGTCCAAGCAAGAAGAGCAGCGTATCAAAATTTTGCTCACGCATCGCGAAAATCCGAGCTACTCGCACGCAAAGTTGGCAAAATCGCTAAAAGTTGCCAAATCAACTGTTACAAATGTAATTAAAGTGTTTGGGGAACGTTTGTCGACAGCCAGGAAGTTTGGATCGGGGGGAAATCGAAAACCGGAAGCCGCTGAGACGACAAAGAGAGTTGCCGGTAGTTTCAAGCGAAACCCTAACCTCTCTCTCCGAGATGCCGCAAATAAGCTGGGTGTATCGTCTACAACCGTGCATCGAGCCAAAAAACGAGCCGGACTATCGACTTACAAGAAGGTAGTGACTCCAAATCGCGATGATAAACAAAATACGACGGCCAAAGCGCGATCCCGGAGGCTGTACACGACGATGCTGACGAAGTTTGACTGCGTGGTAATGGACGACGAAACCTACGTCAAAGCCGACTACAAGCAGCTTCCGGGACAGGAGTTTTATACGGCAAAAGGAAGGGGAAAGGTAGCAGATGTTTTCAAGCACATGAAACTGTCAAAGTTCGCAAAGAAATATCTGGTTTGGCAAGCCATCTGTACCTGTGGCTTGAAAAGCAGCATTTTCATATCTTCCGGGACTGTCAACCAAGAAATTTACGTGAAAGAGTGTTTGAATAAACGTCTGCTGCCTTTCCTGAAGAAACACGGTTGTTCCGTACTGTTTTGGCCGGATTTGGCATCTTGCCATTACGGTAAAAAGGCCATGAAGTGGTACGCCGCCAACAACGTGCAGGTGGTTCCCAAGGACAAGAACCCTCCCAACACGCCAGAGCTCCGCCCAATTGAGAAATACTGGGCTATTGTCAAGCGGAACCTAAAGAAGACCAAAAAAACTGCTAAGGGCGAGCAGCAGTTCAAGGCAAACTGGCTTTCTGCGGCGAAGAAGGTGGACAAGGTGGCTGTACAAAATCTGATGGCAGGGGTCACGCGTAAGGCCCGGCAATTCGGATTTGGAAAAGTGGAAGCCTAACTGAATATTTTTCCTGAATTTTATACTAATTGAACTTGAAAAAGAAATTTAATTTGATTTTTTAAATAAACGATTTCACCGATTTACACGCGTTTTCCCTTGACCAAATTTTGACCGTATCACCCTTTACTTTGAGTGAGCTTGATGAACTGAACAATGAATGACAACCGTGGAAAAACGGTTCTGTCTCTGATCCATTGTATTTACAATGTTGTATATGTTTGAGTACAGAAGTTAAATAGAGTAAAAAAAAGTAAAGTTTTAAGTTCCTGCCCAGAAGGTTTTCCGTTGTTTTAAGATATAAAAGGGTTTATTTATTTTTTGAACAAAGATGTTGTTTTAGACTGCAAAATTATCGATCAAGTTAAAAAAAGTGTTTGGCTAAAATCAATAGTATTACAATTGTTTTTCAAAAGTTTCTCATTTGAAATGTCTAGAATACATTGGAAAGTGAATTATAATCACACGAAGAAGCTTAAATCAATTATCACTAGGGCTTATATATAATTTTGGGCCTACCAAACACAACCCACACATCGCCTTTCTCTTTCAAGTGGTTTTTTTTTATCAAAATAGAATGTTTCCACTAAAGATGACTTCCAAATTTATTTACCTTTTCATAAATACGGTTAGATTATATAAGTAGTCACAAATTGTCAAATACCTACCACCCTTTCTTGATTCCAAACTCGCCTATGAATTCTGATTCCGCCCTAACGCACTACCTAAAGCTACAATAACTTTAAACAGCACTTATCAGTGCTCAACCTGTAAAATTTCTACTTTGTTCGACTCTTATTCCTCTTCGATCCTTGTTTGGACCCTACCCGAGGTAATCCTTTTTGGATATCGATTTGGAAAATTCCTCTTCGATCCTTCAGATTCTTATAGTAATCTGCTTGAAAGTCGATTTGGATAAAAATTTACTGCCGCCATGGCGTCTAAACGCAAAAGAAAAGGGCAATCTCTTGATCCCCCTTCTGATAAAATTAAATTGAGCAATCAATTTGATTTGCTCACGGATGATGAGAATGATCTATCATCCTGGAAAAATTCTAGTAAACTTTTCCGGCTTAATGCCAAGAAGGAAAAGATTCCCCCTATTGTGATAATCATTTCCGATTTCCATGCTCTTTGCATGGAACTTTTGAACTTCGTGAAATTTAAGTTTTCACTACAAATAGGCGTGGTGATTGACTTGTATTGGCTGAAACCTTGGACGGATTCAAATGTCTTCCCAAGCATCTTACTGAGAAGCAGCATAAATTTTTTACTTACGACACCAAAACTGAACGTGTGTTCAAGGTTGTGATGAAAGGACTGCCCAGTGGTGAATCTTTGGATCAGATCAAAGATGAACTGGAAAAATTACTTGGGGTTGTGCCAGTCCAAGTAATCAAAATGGAATCCCGTCCTGGCGATTCGCGCAACAGGTTTTCTAATGATTTTTATTTAGTTCACTTCAAGTCTAGTGAACTAAACAACCTTAAGGCCTTGGAAAAAGCTAGCTTATGCTCCATGTCCGAGTGAAGTGGGAACACTTCAGGAAGACTGCAGGAAATTTCCAAAACCTCACCCAGTGCCGTAAGTGCCAGAGATGGGGTCACGGAACAAAAAATTGCTACATGCCAGCTAAATGCATGAATTGTGGTGATTCCTCTCACGCAAAGGACGACTGTCCTGTGAAGGAAGATCATAAAAAAATTATATGTTCAAATTGTAGTGAAAACCACAAATCCAATTTTTGGGAATGTACGACTTGCAAAGCGTTCTAAGCGACACGTAGGAAATGCTCCACGTTTCTGACCAGGTATAATTCCTCTGCTGTTAACAACAGTCAGCGAGGAACGAATCAAACAAAAAATTCTTTCTTCATTTGAAACCAAAGTTTTTGAAACTTTAAGAGTTTCTGTTGAAATTAAGTTTGGACAACTTACGTTTATAGCTGCCTATTTGTCATTCCAATGCGTAGGCCAGCAAAAGATTTTTCTCAAGGGTGACCTTCAGAAACTTACCCGTCATAGGTCTAAA